ATAACTTTTATGAGGATAACATCTAAAAGTTTCAAGTGAATTCTAATAAATGTAAAAAAAAAATTGTTGAGAAATTAAAATCCATTTTCATTTCAGTTCAACTAAAATAATTATAAAATTCAATCGAATTTCAGTTTAAGTAAGAATTTATATTTTATACTTGATTGTCAAATTCAGTTCAATTCGAATCTTAATTATAGTTACGTCAAATCAAGAATTGAATTTAAATTCAACTCAATTAACATTTTTCTCTTAAACCTATAAACAAATTTTCTTATCTTTTCTCATTCACAGTGATACCATAATTTAATTATTCTTTATTATTTTTATAATTAATTTCAATTTGACTTCAACTTTGAATCCTCATAAAATTCAGCAAAGTTCAGTTTAAGCAAAAATATATATTTTATACTCGACAAACAAATTTAGCTTAATTCGAATTTTAATCATAATTATTTCGAACTGATAATCGAGTAAAATGAAAGAATTCTTTTAATTTTTTGGTGGAAAAAAAATTTAGAGTAGTTTTGATAATTTGATTAATAATCTTCAAACAATCCGACCCACAAAAAACTTAAAGACAAACAATGCTAGCTTCCTTAGTGTGTGTGTATATATATATACCATTTGAATATTATATAATTTTATATTGTCATAGTATTCGAATATTATTTGATTTTATACAATGCCTATTATACCATTTAAATATTATAATATTTTTATTGCAATACAAAATATGACTTATATTATAGTCATTCAACTCGTTTGAACGCAAAGAATTTGTATTTAAGATTCATTTGTTTATTTGAAAATTTTAAAAATGATTCTTTATTATATAAAGTCATAATTAATGACCTTATTAATGTGTAGTACAAGGTAGAAAGAGAGAATTATAAGAAAGAGAGAAGTCTGAGAATTGTGGAAGGAATGAAAGTATTGTTCAAAAAATTGGGAGGGGGAATTTCGCATTATTACTATTGGATTTATAATCATCAAGTAATCTGAACTGTAAAAAGGTCAAGACAAATTTTTTTAAGTATTTTATTATATAGATATTTATAGACCATTCAATCAATAAAATAAATATGTTAAATATTATAATGAACTTTCTTTTAAATTTTATCTCTCTCTCATAAGTCATAAGGACATATTATATTTTAGGAAAAATTTCATTCACACCCCGTAAAAAACTAACATGAGAGAGAGATAAAGGGAATTTAGGTATTATAAGACAATAAAATTACTTAACAACTTATGAAAAAATGAATTTAATTACTTAAAAGTCTAACCGGTGTTGTGGATGAAAAAAATTTAAAAATATTTGCATGAAAAAAAATTAAAACTATCCGCAAGAAAAAAAAATTAAAAAAAAATTTATAATCAAACCGTTACTTTTTATACTTATAAAGTTAAAAATTATAGTTAAGTGAGTGTTTTTGATTTGAATGTATAAACCATAAAAGGTGCAGTGAAATTCAAAATTGATAGAAAAATATCATTAAATTTAGACTTAACTAGCGAAAACGTTAATGAAATTTTTCTGATACTTTAGAGAAGTAACACATTGCATTGTTAGCTCCATCGAGTAGCTGTCAAACCCATTTGCAACCTAATCTCGTAAGAAATCCCATTCAATGCTTTTAATAAGTCCAACTTGATGGCCTTCTGAAACTTCTTACTCTTCTTCCTCTGTCTTCTTCTTGAGCTACGGTTAATATAATATTACAGTTAAGAAGTTAAAATTTTAATTTATAAAAATATAACAACAATTAATATGATCTAATTTTTATTTATTTTAATCTAATAATCCAAAAAAAATCTCAAAAAAAAATTTCCGCTGAAAAACCTCATTTTTACTATATACCTCTAATGTCAAAGAACTTGAGCAATACAATTCTCAATAGCAAAAATAACAACCCCATTAATTCATCTCTTATTTTCTCTTTATTCCCCTTCCCCTCCCCAAAAAAAAATTTATTTTCTCTTTATTCATTTTAGTTTTACGTTATGTAATGAAAAAAATTAATTATTTTTTAAAATACAAAATATTATATGAGACCTTTGTCTCCCAGCACCAAAAGCACTTTGTGTTTGTGAGATTATCTGCGACGTAATTGCTTTCAACTTTATTTCCAAGAGTTTGGCCCAGCGATCTTCTTTTAATTTAATTGTGACCTTTGTCATGAAAAGTAAAATATTAATAATATAAGAGATTAGTAATTACCCGTGCTTAAAGGCATTATGTTACCCGTAAAAAATTGTGAATATTTTTTTATAAATAAATGTAATGTATAATACAATTTAAACAATACAACGATCAAATTCATATAGTTCAACCTTTATGCAGAACATATATAATCAAACATTTATATAATGAAAGTCATGCTACAACTGCTGCAACATATTAATTGGAAAATTTGAAAAATATAATTATTATTAATCAAACATTCACAATTTTAACATTTTTAATAAATTTTATCTCAAATTTCAAAAACCATAACTATTTGTTTTTCTACACGTTTCTACCTAAAGTTTATAACATTATCTCTGCACCATTTTTCCAATATGAGTTCATGTAAATTTTGTAAGGAAAACATCCAAAAATTTCTCGTGAATTCTTGTAAATGTAAAAAATTTTGTTAAAAAATTAAAATATATTTCCATTTGAATTCAAGTTAAATATTATTAAAATTCAATCGAATTTAAGTTTGGATGAGACTATTCCCATTTTCCACCCGACAAATCTCCATTCCACCCCATTTAATTTTTCATTATGAAACTAGAAAACCCACCCCTTTTGTACCCACCCTATTAGTAACTAAATACACTTCATACTATATACACCCAGTTTAATAAGTAAGTTCACCTTTTTTTTTTTTCATAATTAGAGTTTTATTCTCTATTTTATCTCATGCACTCATAAAAATATTACTTTTTAATATTAATTTTTTTTAGTGAGATACATGTTGCTTCTTTCTTTCTTTTCTTTTCTTTATTTCGTTCTTTTCTTTTTAAAATATGTGTATGTAGCATGTGGTGGGTATAGAAAATGAGGATTTAATAGTTTGATAATTATAAATTAAATAGGATAGAAATGAAAATTTGAGGTTGGGAATAAGCCCACCCTTTAAGTTTAAGCACGAATGTATACTTTATACTCGACAAACAAATTTATCTCAATTCGTCTTAATCATAATTACGTCAAACCAAGAATTGAATTTAAGTTCGACTAAATTAACACTTTTAAGTTCAATTAAGTTCGGCTAATTCTTATCTATTCACATTCATTATGATACCATAAGTTTTTTTTTTTTAATTTGGTTATTCTTTATTACTTTTACAATCAATTCAATTTGACTTCAACTTGAATACTTGTAAAATTCAAGGTAAGTTTAAGTAAGAATATATATTTTATATTCGACAATTAAATTCAGCTCAATTCGAATTCTGATCATAATTACTTTCAAATCGAGAATCAAGTGAAATGAAATTTGGAGAAGAAATTTCAATCGTTTGATCAATAATCTTAAAATAATGTGAGCCGTGAAAAGTTCAAGACAAATAATGGTAACTCCCTTAGTATATAGGTATACCCTATTGCATATATATTATTCGCCTATTATACCATTCGAATATTATAATATTTATATAAAATATGATCTATATTATAGTCATTCGAGTCGTTTTGACGCAAATAATTTGTATTTAAAGTCTATTTGTTTATTTAAAATTTTTAAAATAATTATAATTAACAACCTAATTAATGTGTAGTATCAGATAGAGAGATTGAGAGTCATAAGAGAGATAAGAGTATTAGAATTGTGAAAAGAACGAAAGTCTTGCTCAAAAAATTGGGGGGAGAAGAAATTTCGCATTAGGACTATCAGATCAATATTTCTTCAAGCAATTTGAGCCGCGAAAAATTAAAGACAAAAAAATCTAACTACTTTATTATATAAATATTTACATGTATCAAGTTTTTATTTAAAATAAAAGAAGAAAATATAGTATATAAAAATAATTTTTTGATATGGCTTTTTTAAAGTATATCCAAATACCAAACATGTGGCTGGAACTTCAACCCACATATTTACTGTGTCGGCATCGTGGGGGAATTAGGGATAAAGTGCGTTGGTGCTCCTGTTCTTACTTTTTAACAAGTGTTCCTCTCGTTATTAAAAAATCAGTTATTTGTCGTGGTAATATAAATAAATTATAAATTTAATTTTTTTAATTTAAAATTTACTATTTTTGAAAATCAAATCAAAGATTTATTTTTCATTGAATATGATAGGCCTAGTTCAGACTTTACAGATCAAATAGATATAACGGAAAATTGAGAACTAAATAAATATTAAACATATATTTTTAAAGATTAAAAATATATTTTATACTAAATTATATCAAGTAAATGGGCGTGATAAGGACCTACCTTCTTGAACTCTGCAAAAGCCCCCGACAGTTTTTCCATATCCAGCTCACCCCCATCTCTCACTCTCTCTCTCTTTATATATATATATATATATATATATGAATTAGTTATGTGCTTTTTTATCCACGTGGACGCACTACTATAATTAATAATGTTTTATGTCTCAAAATGAATTTCAAATTGTAAGACTAGCCTATGGTACTAAACAAAAAAAAAAAAATAGTATCATATCTTCATTTATAATTTACATGTGTTTTTATAACTGTTATAACACTTTTGATCGAAAAAAATTAGAATTGCAAGTACGATAAAAGTGATAAAAATAATCATAATAATTATAAAATATCCACAAAAGTAGTATAAAAACACGTATTAAAGTTGTAAAAAATAAAGGGCCTGCACAGATTCCGTCATTCATATCAATCTGGAATTTAAATTTTGAAAATATTTTGAGAGAAGTATTGTTATTGCTTATAAATAAACCACCACTTCCAGCTCTCGGAGACACCAAAATTTCAATACTTCTCCTTCCATCCGACGATTCCGACCAACCACTTCTCTCTCTAACATGGGTGGATATTCACTCATTCCGACACCTAGCTCCACTCAAGGAGAAGACCCGCCAAATTCAACCACGGGTTTTCTCTCCTGTTCCTGCAAGACAGGATCTACATTAACTCCACCAAAACACACCACCTCCACCACAGTCCCCTTCATTTCTTTCCTCCTGGCCATCACCACCTGCTTATCTCTTTCCGTAGCCGCCGCGGCCTTGCCACCTCATTCTCATCAACTAATTAAAAACTCCGAACACATTGCTAAATTTTCTCGTCCACTCACCAAACTCAAACACCCAGTTGTTATCTTGATCTCATCTGATGGGTTTCGATTCGGATACCAATTCAAAACCGATACCCCAAATATCGATAACTTGATTAAGAATGGAACCGAAGCCGAAGAGGGTTTGATTCCAGTTTTTCCATCTGCAACATTCCCAAACCATTACTCCATTGTCACTGGTTTACACCCTGCTTATCATGGAATTATCAACAATCGTTTTTTCGACCCCAAATTAAACGAGACTTTCACACGCCCCACTGGGAGTAATGTGTCCAAGTGGTGGTTTGGTGAGCCACTGTGGGAGACTGTGGTGAACCATGGTTTCAATGCTTCAACATATTTTTGGCCTGGTTCTGTGGCAAGTAAAGGTAAATGGACTTGCCAAGAGTACTTCTGCAAGCAGTTTAACGAATCTGTACCGTTTGAAGAGCGAGTGGATGGTGTGCTGAACTACTTTGATATGCCAAATAGTGAAATACCTGTCCTCATGACTTTGTATTTCCAGGATCCAGATGCTCAGGGTCACGAAGTTGGACCCGATGATCCGGAAATCACAGAAGCTGTTGGTAGGATTGATAGTATGATTGGAAGGTTGATCCAAGGTCTGAAAAAAAGAGGGGTCTTTGAAGATGTTCATATAGTTTTGGTTGGTGACCATGGCATGGTGGGTACGTGTGATAAAAAGTTGATCTTTCTTGATGATTTGGCACCATGGATTAAAATTTCAAGCAATTGGGTTGAGGCAGATAAAGCACAGCTGGGTATTCGCCCGCCTGCCGGTTATTCACCGGCAGATGTGGTGGCGAAGATGACTAAGGGATTGAAAGAAATAAATAATGGGAAGCATTTGAAAGTTTATCTAAAGGAGAAGCTGCCTAAGAGGCTACATTATGTGGCAAGTGATAGAATTTCGCCGATAATCGGGTTGGTGGACGAGGGGTTTACCGTGACACAATCGAGACCGGGTGGGGAAAAGTATTGTGGAGGAGCACATGGGTATGACAACAAGTATTTCTCAATGAGATCAATATTCATCGGCCATGGTCCTAGGTTTGCTAGGGGCAAGAAGGTCATCTCGTTTCAGAATGTTGAGATTTACAACATAGTTACATCAATCCTCAAAATAAAGGGTGCTCCCAATAATGGCACAAAAGGGTTCCCCACTAAAATTCTCCTCCCTAAGCACTAATATCGGAGTGAGAAGTGAAGGTTTCAGCTGCAATAGGATGGGAGAAGTGAAGGCATGCATATCATTAGCTGAAACAAATTAGTATTGTGTTTTCTAATAAGTGAGTTTTTTGATGTGGCATTGTGGCGTAATGGTATGGTCTCTATGTTCTTGGTTCCATGTATTTAAAGAATGGGTGGATTATTCTCGATCCACAAATCTTTATTCTCATTCCATTTAATTTTTTATTATTATATTACTAAGTCCATTCTTTTTATACCTACCACATTAATAACTAAGTTCACTCTATGCTACATACACCTTATTAATAATTAAGCTCACTCATTTTATGTATATCCCTTTAATAAAAAAAGTCATTGTAAAAAAGAAATAATAAAAGAAGGCAATTAATTTGAATGAATAAATATATTTACGAAAAAAGAAAAAAAAAAAACAAAACAAAGTTGAAATAAGAAAAAAAAAACCAAAAACGAAACAAATAAAAAAAAAACAAGCATGCCCAAAAAAATAAAAAAGAACGAAACAAGAAAAAAAAATAAAAAGAAATAATCAAACTGAAACAAAAAAAAAAACAGAAAGAAAGAAGTAAACTGAAACAAGAAGAAAAAAAAAATCGAGCAAAGATTAAAAGAACCAAAAAACTACAACACACAAAATCGAATATAGAAAAAAAAATAAACATCAAGCACAAACACAAAATCAAACAAGAAAAAAAGTAACAAACATAAATATAAAACCTTAACAAAATAAAAAAAAATAATATGAAAGTATACAATTATATACACATATAAATTCTAAATAAAAAAATTATTAAACTTGATAGAAATATTAAAATATACCGAAAATAATGAAACTCTATATAATAAACATGAAATCAAACATAGAATTAAATTGTGAAGTAATACTAACATGTATATCATTGTAAAAATTCGTATTGAAAATAAGTTTTTGTTAGTGTATGAGATGAGATAGAGAATAAAACCCAATTTATGACAAAATATAAAGGGGGTATATATAGCATAGGGTGAACTTAGTTACTATTGAGGTGAGTATAGAAATGGTGAATTTAATAATTTGATAATGAGAAATTAAATGGAGTGGGAATAAAGATTTGCAGAGTAAATAGCCCCACCCTTGAAGAATAAACGATTAGCTGCAATTGTAAGGATATTGGAACAAGCACTTGGACTTTATTCTTGTAATGTTATCGATGTTTTCTGGAAAAATTTCAGCCACCCTTTTTCTAGTTCCCATATCTTGAGAAACACCTCCGATATTATCTAAAATATTACTACCACACTTTTTAGTTTATATTTATACATCACTAACACCTCTATTGTTAAACCATCATTTAAAAAATAAAAAAAAACCATTTAAAATATCAAAATGACCCCTACATAAATCTCTAAGAATTTTTCTATATAAAATTCGATTAAATGTCGATTCGATTAAATGTGGAGCCGATTAAAACTTTTTTTAACATATTAAAATTTGAGCCGATTAAAATTTATTTTTTAACATATTAAAATTTGAGTCGATTAAAATTTGATTTGAGCTGATTAAAATTTGTTTTTTTTATGCATTAAATTCGAGCATATTAAAAATCTTTTTTAAACTTATTAAAATTCAAGTCGATTTGACCTCAACCTGAACTATTAGCAGTGAATTAAAATTCGATTTGAGTAGATTAAAATCTATATTTTTTATTTATTAAAATTTGTATCAATTAAAATTCGATTTAAGTTGATTAAAATTTATTTTTTAAGTATTAGAATTTGAATCGATTAAAATTTATATTTTTTTATGTATCAAAATTAAGGCCGATTAAAATTCGATTGGAGTTAATTAACTCAAATTGAATGTTAATATGTAAAAAAATTCATAAAACAAATAGGATCTCATTGAAGATATGCCTACTTAGAAGGGGGTGTGGATGAAATTTTTTCGAAAATGTATTAGGGATAATTTAGTAAAATTGTATTTTAGTTAAAGTCTTTAATCTGGCAGGATATGTCAATGAATATTTAAAAAATAAAAAGAATGTCCTTGAAGATATGATAAATAAGAAAGGATGTAGCTGAAATTTTTCCTTGTTTTGTTTGTTCTGCAATTGTTCAAATATAAGGATGACAATTTTTGATGCGACATGAAAATATGATTCAAAATCGACACGGAATTAGTGAGGTAATATTCACCATTTCTGACATGAACCTATAAATGACACAGAAGTATTCGACACATACTTTACCCATATTAACCATGCACCGGGTTTAATTAACGGAAGATATAATATATATGGTCAAATAGTTATGGGTTAAAATAGTAAAAAGATTTGCTAATAAAATTTTCTGTGGTTTTTTATAATTAAATGTATTGTTGTTAATGATGTACAAATTGATTTTATGCACCACCGGTCAAGTGATTAGTAATTAATGCAGTAATTAAGTAGAGAGAGATAGTGAGCTAAAAGAGACAAGGATTTATATTGGTTCGGTCATTGTGACCTACGTCCACTTTGAATGGCTAGGGTCGGCAGAGTATTTTATTACTTTGAAGAGTATAGAGAAAACATGAAGATACAAGCTAAGAGAGATGAGAGAGTTGTGCTCAACTGAGTATGATGCCCCCCAAGTGTTGGCGGGGCTTACAATTTATAATCGTCACATGACAGATTAAGGCGAGTTATTAGTAATTAAATAACTAATCTGATGGAGCTAACGACCCCTTCTCAACGGATGAGGTAATTATGGTGCTCTCCATAACATCCGATTAAAGGATAACGTGAGGGTTAACTCTTTCCAATGCGGCGTGGATGAGACTCTCGGAAACCCTGCTTACTCTTTTGGCGAAATTGACTGGGTGTGAACCCTTTTTGGGCTGGATATTTATATTTATAAGTTTGGGTTCTTAATTAAGATTGGGCTTTCAACATGAGCTGAGCCATTTGGGTCTAGTCCATCAGTTGTACCTAAATTTTAATTTTTAATTATTGTGCATATTTATATTGATTTGATAAAGATAATTTAGTACTTACGCCAATTTTTCTATATTTTTTTTTGATGATGTACAAAAGTTAATTTATGCACTACCTGTTGAGTAATTAATGTATGTAATAAATGTAGTAAATATAAAGATGAGATCAACACAGATATAAAGTGATTCAGTCAGAGTAACTTGCTCCACTTTGAAGGCAGCAGCGGTGGTTGTAGGACTTTATTGATAAAATAGTAAGTGGGAGAGAAGGAAGGAGCAAAAGTAATCTCTAAGTGCAGAAACATAGCTCGATAAAAGGTGTAGCTGAGCAAAATTAAAAGGTGTGTCCCTCATGTGTGGAGGGCGTACAATTTATAGGCACAGAACCTTAGTTGAGGCGGTGGCGTGAAGGGATAGATGATTAGTCCTTCGGAGTGGATAGCTATAGTTAAGGATTGATACACTTAAAGATAATCTTGATCTCCGAATAATTGTCCCGATGTTTATTCTCTACATACGCTGATCTTCCTAAATTCCTTGAACCTTAGACTGAACTGAATGCATGAGTTGAGCTTAACCTGTCTTTTAATTGATTTGGGTTTTACCTCATTAATTGGGGTTGACCCAATTAAATATGGGTTCATCATTTCTAACAAATTGTTCATTCTAATCAAATACATATAAGAAAATAATTTTTTTTTCTATTTCCTTTCTTTTGATTCACTTTTTACCGTTTTCACTTTCATCGTCAATTTCTTTCTAACCAAACGAATGATAGCAATAACCCATAAGTGTCTTCCAGGGGTGCAACGCGGGCTGATTGGACAGGTTAAAAGGTCAACCTTAGATATATAATCATCAACCCTAACTCTGATTATACCTCAACCTGAGTCCTGCCCGAGTTTAATTCAGGCAGGCTCGAGTTGAATTCAGGTTACTTTATTTGGGCTGATTTCGGGTCAAAAATTGGGTTGACTTGGGTTACTTAATTCTGGTTGATTTTTTGAAATATAGATTTTATTTTTCAAGTATAGATATGATTTTTTCAATTGATCTGAAATGAAAGGCGAGACGTAGATGAAGAGAAAAAGAGGAGTGACGAGTGAGAAAGGGAGGAGTGATGAGTGAGAGAAGGAGGCTGAGAGTTTGAAACGACTCAGGCAAATAACGATTAAAAGAAGGAGGCTAAGAGAGGGAAGAATGACGAGTGAGAAAAGGATCTAAGAGTGATTGAGACACAAGAGTGAAAATTTAAAGTGGAACAAAAGTCTGAACTTTAAAGAGTGAAAATAAATACTAACCTTAGTTAAATATATTTATATATATTCGGGTTCAACCCGATGTCTCAATCCAAGATTTGTTCAAATTCAATTTGGTAAATGTTTTTTTGCCCAAATTTAACCAAATATTAAAAATTCTAACTCAATTCTTATTTTTTTTGAATTAGACTCGGGTTGAATTCAAGTTGACCGTCCAAGTTGCGCTCCTAAACTTTTCCCTTATACATTCTCCTCTGCATGCCGGTGAATTGCACAGTGGATAGGGGTCACCTTATCCACTGTAACATCACCATTATCAACAGGTCAGGGGATAGGGGTCACCTAATCTTAATATCTCTCCTTCTCTCAATCAGGGGATGGGGGTCACCTTATCCACTGTAACATTACCATTATCAACAGGTCAGGGGATAGGGGTCCCCTAATATCTCTCCTTCTCTCGGTCAGGGGATAGGGGTCACCCTCTCTCTCTCTCTCTCTCTCTCTCTCTCTCTCATAAGTACATATTATACTTGTACTTCACAGAAGTATCACACTGCATTGTTAGCTCCACCGAGTGGCTGTGAAACCCATTTGCAACCTAATCTTTTAAGAAATCCCGTTCAATGCTTTTACCAAGTCCAACTTGATGGCCTTCCGAAACTTCTTACTCTTCTTCCTCTGCTTCATTGAGTTTAGGACCTCCTGAGCTACCGTCTATATAATATCATAGTTAATAAGTTAAAATTTTAATTTATAAAAGTACAATAACAGCTAAGATTATCTAATTTTTATCTATTTTGATCCAATGATCCAAAACTAATCCCAAAATTTTTTTCCTCTCAAAGATCTCATTTTTTCAGTTACATAATTAAAAAAGTAAGTTATTTTTTTAAATACAAAATATTGTATGATCAATATAAAATATTTTTTGTATTATT